AGTATATTTTGATTAAATTTAGATCCCATCAGCCATCTGCACTCCTACTACCCCCACCAAGTTTAAGGTACTGTTTTATACATATAGGCCTTAATAAATTATATATAGAGATGTATGTATATGTATATTATATATACATATATAATTTATTAAGGCCTATGTAGTCAAACTTGTGTCCGCCAAGTGCTCCTCAGTGTGGGTCTGTCCATTGGAACCTGGTCGACATAGCAAGAGTTTCACCCTTAAATGAGACTAATTCTCCTCCAAGTAGCCATGGGTTACCAGTAGTTTCTCAGATAGGGTAGGGTTTATTACCCACTTCCCTATATCCATGCTTGGATTTTGTCTCTCTTGAACCTCCATGGGACTTGTGCATGCTGTCACTATTGCTTTAAGTTCATATGAGTAACTGACCAGCTTTCTGGAAAACTCTTTCCCTGTGATCATCCACCATCTCTGAGTCATCTTTAGCCCCCTCTTCCACAGTGATTCCTCAGCCTTGGGAGGCAAAGTATGATACAAGTGTCCTATTCAGGGAAAAGCACTCCAGCTTTTTGTTCTCTGCATCTGGGTTGGTGTAGTTCTTTGTGTTAATCCACATCGCTGCATAAGAAAGCTGCTCTGGTGAGAGTTGAGAGATTCATTCATCTATGGATATAACAGTAAGTCATTAGGAGTCAGTTTAATACTATATTTAGTAGAAAGCTAGCATTAGGCTCTCCCCCATGCCTGTGACCTGACTAGCCTCAGGTTCCTAAGCCTGATGTCATTGTCAGTGTGGACTTCATCTTAAAGTGGAGAGTGTCTGCAAATAGACGAATGAGTTGAACTTCCCATGCCAGTCATTTTTACTGTCTTTTACCAAGAAGCAGACAAAGTGCTAACATCAGTTTAATGTTAAATCAGGAGTAAATTTTGCCCCAGTGGTGTCCTAACCTATAAGATATAGAGACATGGCAGCAGTTCAGGATGGTAGGTAGAGTGCCTGACAGTGGAAAGGTGCCCACCAGCATCTTTTACGAATCAATTTCAGGTGGGTATCAGGTCTCTGAACTATGACTAGTTCAAATTGAGATGTGTTGTCAGTATAAAACACCAGATTTTAAAGATGCACAAGAATAAACAACCAAAGAATGGAAAATAGCTTAATGTTTATATTGATGAAATTACAGCATTGCTATGATGATTTAAATAAAATATTTTTGTTTGCTTTTGGTTTATTTTTTCTACAAAGATTATAGATTTTACGAGGTTCACATTATCTTTCTTTGGACAGTGCTATTTAAATGAAAATGTGAGTTGACGAAGGGTTGAAACAAAATGCATTGTTAGAATTTAATGTAACAGACCAAGAAATGCTACAATGAATGTTTCACTCATATTTTAAAGTTTGAACATGTGATTGTAATTGTATTACAATACAAATAATCAGTTTTAAGTGAAATAATCCTAGCCTTCCATGCACCATAAAAAGGTCAAGTTTTGCTATTCATAGAAAAACACCTTATAGATGAGCAAAGTAAGTAAGTTCCATGTTATTTTTAATTTTGCCTTAAGTGATACTTCTCCCAGTTGTATTTTTAAAGAGTTTGCATGTTTGAAGAAGACTTAACAACTCATGCTGGAGTGAAGACAGTGGGTTTTTACTGCATGTTCCATTGCACAAGGGAACTTAGTGGGCGTATCCTAAGCACAGATACCATTTAAAAACAAAGTTTTCTGTGCCTGGTAACAAGAGGAAGTGAGAGAAATTGTAGACATGAGAAAATATTGATGGGAGAATCTCCCTCACAGCTGATGAAGGGGATTCTGTGACGGGCCAAAGGAACTAAGACCTTTCCCTAGCCAACAGCCAGCAGGAAAATGGTCCTGCATCAACAAGGAACTGAACTTTGCCATGGCGAGAATGAACCACAAAGCAGATCTCGCTGCCCCCATGTCTTTTAGTCTAAATTCAAATAGTCGGGGTTGGAGTGATGGCTCAGCAGGTAAAAGTACTGGTTGCTCTTGAAGACTTGGGTTCAGTTCCCAGCACCTACATGGTAGCTCACAACTAGCTATAATGCCAGTTCCAGGAATCCTATGCCTTCTTCTGGCTTCTACAGGCATTGCACACATGGTGCACTAACATACATACAGACAAAGCATATACACATAAAATAAGAATTAAAAAAAAATTCAGGTGCCAGGCGTGGCACACACCTTTAATCCCAACACTCCGGAAGCAGAGGCAGGCGGATCTCTGTGAGTTCAAGGCCAGCCTGGTCTACATAGTGAGTTCCAGGCGAGTTGGGACTACAGGGAGATCCTTTCTCAAAAAGACCAAAAAAGAGAAAAAATTCAGCTAACCATCACCTTGATGTAAGTCCTATGAAATCACAAAGAACTTACTGCCCCTTGTGCCTCGTGTTCATGTGTAGAGGGTTGCATGTGTGTGTACTTGCATGTGGAGTCCAGAAGTTGACGGTCTTCTTGAGTCTCTTCCCACCTTATATTTTGAGATGGTCCACCAGACCTGGAGCAGCGAGCCCCAGGGATCTTCCTGTGTTCACCTTCCCATCATTGGGAAGCTGTGTGTGGTAGCTCGAATGAGAATGTCCCCCATAGGCTCCATATATTTGGACATTTGTCCCTGGTTGGTGGCACTGCTCTGGGAGGTTTTAGGAGGTGTGGCCTTGCTGGAGGAAGCACATCACTGGGGCAAGCTTTGAGAGTTCTTAAGCCTCACCAGATTACCAGTTGCTCTGCTTCCTGTGCCTGCTTGGAGATGTGAATGCACCTTTTCCTCCTCCAGCCACCCCCCTGCTTGCCACCATGCCTCTCCGCGGTGATGAACTTATTCCTCTGGAACCATAAACTCAAATAACTCTTCCTTTTATAAGTTCACTTTCTTGGTCACAGTGTTTTATCACAGAAACAGAAAAGTAACTAATATGAGGTGTGTGCCCCAGCTCCCAGACTTTCTGCAGGCGTTCTGGGTATCAAGCCCAGATCCACCCCCCTCTTTCTCGCTCTGTGTGTGTGTGTGTGTGTGTGTGTGTGTGTGTGTTATGTGATTACAATATTCTTTATAACAGACTTTCAAAATTGGCTCATCTTAACATGTATTTTCTAATGGATTATGTCAAGCTAGAAAGACCTTTGGAATTACTGTTTTGAGACGGTGTCTGCCCAGGCTGTTCTGTGTTACTGTGTAGCCCAAGTTGGCCTTGAGCTTCCCACAGTCTTCCTGTCACATCTCAAGTGTTGGGATTGCAGATGTTACCACCACACCTGACCTGTTTGGGGGATTTCTGTTAGAATTATTCTAAACAGAGTTTGAAGGACAATTCAGTTCTATAAAATACTTAGCTTTCCTAACTGTGGTAAGGCTTTTTCATGCAGTAGCAAATTTTGTCTATTGTGGCCTTTCATAGATCTTATTTCAGGGGATCTGTACCATGATTTGCCTTTCTTAATGGATTTTTTAAAGTTAAAAATGTATGTCCTAATTAATTCTTACATATTTTAAAGTGTCTGGTTTCATATATTAACACACCTGAGCAGCGTATATTTTATTACCCTCAAATCCACTGGTTTTTTTCTTTCTTCTTTTTGTCTTTGGACAGGGTCTCCC